TGTTTTAAATTAAGGTTTTATGAGTTTATATATTTTATGTTCTAATGTTTGTTGTGAATCGCCCAGAGTTCCCCCATTGGGGGGAGATGGGCGGTTGAAAAATTTGATAAATAAATAAAATAAATAAATAAATAAATAAATAAATTTAATGGCCAGCTTTTCCATTGACTCTGCTTGTCAGAAGCTGTCTGTGAAGCACACAAATAGTGATCATGTGACTAGGGACACTGCAACAGTTGTAAATGCCTGCCAGTTGCAAAGTGCTCAAATCTTGATCATGTGACAGCAAGGACACTGCAATGGTTGTGTGAGGACCAGTCATAAAGTTAGTTTTTCAGTGCTGTCATAACTTCAAATGGTCACTAAACAGGACAGTTGTTAAGCAAGGACTACCTGTAGTATATTTTGATGAAAAGAGTTATATGAAATGATGCAATGAAATTCATACTAGTGTTTATATATTTCACTTGTATATTGCCTTTTAATTTTTTTTTCCAGATTCATCAGATCAAATTATTCTTTCATCAAAGCCTAGGAAACTTTTGCCAACTTTAATTGATTCCCCAAATGGGGCTCCGTTAGACATTCACAATAAAGAAGGAAATCACATTCTCTTTTCAGATGATGGTGACGCATATTTGACTAATCCGTGGCTGACTCAGTTTCTCCCCGTGGTTGACATTATTGCGTTTGTTCTGGGTCTTCCGTTAAACATGTTGGCTATTCTTATCTTTGTGATGAAGACAAAGTTTCGGAAGCCAGCTGTGGTGTACATGTTCAACCTGGCTTCTGCAGATCTGCTTCTACTGAGTGTGCTGCCTTTTAAAATTGCCTATCTTTTGCGGGGACACAACTGGGTCTTTGGACCCACCATGTGCCAGTTGGCCACTGCTACTTTCTTCTGCAACATGTACTGCTCCATTCTGCTGATGACGGCGATCAGCATTGATCGTTTCTTGGCAGTGGTTTACCCCATGCAGTCTCTGTCCTGGCGCACAGTGAAATGCGCCTCTGTGGTCTGTTTGACCATCTGGCTCCTCGCCATAGCAGGAGCGATACCACTGCTGGTCTTTGATCACACTCTTTGGATACCTCAGCTCAACATTACCACCTGCCTCAATATGCTAAATATTTCTGCTACTGTGAAATTCTTTAGCTATTATTCTTTTGCCTTGTCTATTTTCTTCTTTTTTATCCCTCTACTAATCTCTACCACTTGTTATATTTGCATTATAAGGCAACTTTCTTTGTCCAGAGTTATGGCAAAGCCAGGGAGGAAGAGACGTGCCATCCTCTTGTCTGCAGCTGTCATGGGCACCTTCTTGCTTTTTTTTGGCCCACCCAACATCCTGTCCTTGATGCAACTCTTTTCTCCATACCACCAGCTCCACAGCATCTTTTTTGCCTACATGCTCAGCCTCTGCTTGAGCCCCTTCAACTGTTGCTTTGACCCCTTCATCTACTACTACGCCTCCTCTGAATGTCAGAGGCAGGTCTGGCGTTTTCTGTGCCACCGAAGGCTGCTTCTAGTTAAAAAAGGGAGCCAGACAAGCAGCAACATCGCGCCCTTTCCCAGTGGCTTAGAGCATTCATTTCACACTTAGTTTTTTAATAGCTGTATCTATATAGCACATGGATTCATAATATCACAAGCGTGGATGTAAATTTTCAATGTCATATGGGAGCATTTCCCTATATAGCAGAGATATCTGCAGCACGGTCAAAAAAGTCACGACGAGGACCGCAACTGCATAATTGAAGCCCCCCCCCCCTCTGCAGTCATGAATATGAGCTCAGTTAAGTTATTTCAAAGTATTTATTCACATTTATTACTTGATGTTGGTTCCATCTGCACACAGTGCTCAAGGTAGCTAATAATTTAAAATACTTAAAACATAGCTGAAACATATTAATAAAACAGCTATGCTCATCCAACCTAACAGCAAAATCAGCTTATTTGCCAAAGGCATTTATATACATATACATAAAAAAAACCACTATTCTCTTTCAGGGTAAATAGCATTATGCAGCACACAGAAAATGAGTAAGATATAGTAAGCAAAAGAAAATACTGTAAAGGCACAAAATAAGAGAAATGGAAATATAGAGAGATCTTATTTACTCCAACACCATTCACCCTAATGCTCCATGCCTTTCTGCCCTTGCAAGCCATTTTTGTTTCCATCACATCCATACATGGCTTCATTCAATGCCTTTTGTTGCTTTCACCTGTCTCTCTGAGGATCTCCTCAGTTCCATCCCACCAGGACGTTTTCAGATTTTCCCTTCCTCTCAATGCATTCATTCCTCATTCACATATTTGCTTTGTGTTTCAGTCCTGTTATTCCATCTATGTGACCAAGCCACCTCAATGTACTTCTTTCATATTGGAAACTCAATTTTTATTCAATTTAAATTGGTTAAATTGGTTAAGTTATGGAATCTAAAACTGAAGTTGTTGAGATTCAGTGTTGACACTTTGTCTCTGGTACAGTTGTATAAACTTATTGATTGATTATATGCCCTCAGGTCAGTGTTGACTCTTAGCAACCACATAGATAGATTTCCTCCATGAAATCTGTATAAATATTTGTGCATAAATACAAGGCAATCTGCAGCAACACACTACCTGGCCAAATCAATTGAAGTATGTTATTCCAAAGAATTAAGAGTATCCTGTAGGGCAGTTACCTTTTTCAATGCATTCTCCCTAGCCTAATTGGGCATGTTCCAAAATCTGAGAAACACATAAGGAGTGATCTACAAAAGACAATACCCAAGAAACTGAGTATAGAGGTTGGCTCTGCATATTAAATCCCAAATAATCTGAGCTCCAAATGCCAAGTATCTTGCATTTGCACAAATGCCTTGCAGAGACACACCAGGCTCCTCTCCTTACTGCATCACCATATATATACACTCAAGCAACACCCCCCACTCCACTGCTTCAAGTAATATGACAATCTCAGCATCTTAGCTTCCTCCCACCATCATCCCTGACTACTTAGTACTATAACTCATTGCCCTTTCTTTTTATTTTGTTGTAAAGGCAATTGCTCTGGGAGTTCTGAGAAGTCAAGAACTAATCCTAATTCTCCAGCCCTCTCTTAAAATGCCACTGATTTTCATGTGGGCACAGAAGTCTTTAAGGAAAGAAAGAACAAGGATGAGTGATAGTTAGAAGATGGAACTTATCTCCCAAAAGTTCCAAAGTTTTGGGCCATTAAGGGAGGTATTTGAGGTGAGAGGAGAGACATCATGCTGGAAACTCAAGCTCTTCTATGCAGAACAAAATCACAGTTACTGTCTTAGTTCATAAACCAAAGGAGGGTGCTCGAACGGGCTGAGGTTTGCATTTCAAGAAAGCTACAATTCATCAGGAGGTTCCAACCCATTTCCTTTGGGTTGGAACCCAAAGGAACCAACAGCCTTTAATCACACTACAAGCTAATTAGCTCACCAATGCAAGGATGTTTATGTTAACAGCATGTGCAAGTACACACATACACATACTTGTAAATGTAATGCACAATATTTTTGAAGTATCTGATTAAAGAATTCCATTTACAAATGCATCTGAAATAATAAATGTTATAATCTTGAATGTGCTGAAAAATTATTTGTCTCCTTACAATATTGTATTAAAATGAGAATAGAGCAAACTCTCTTGAAATTGTGGACCTAAGCTTCATAGAATAATATTAATTCAACATTTAAGCAGTCTTTATCTTTGATTTTTTAGTCTATCTCATCAACCTACACTATTAAACTCCTCATAAGATACTAGAAAACAGCAATCTCTCCCTAAGGACACAGAAGCATTCCATTTTATATCTAGTCTTGGTATTCTACTCAAAATGTGACAGTTTATATTCTTATTTGGAAATGTATGTGGTTTGACAATGTGTTACTATTATTGGCAGATTAATTGAAGAGCCTTCAGATAAAAAGTATTGAAGAAACTATTGTGTGTGTTTTCACTGCTTCACCTTAGTGGTCCTTTGCAGATGGTGTAAAAGAAATAACTGAAATATAACAATGATGGCAACAGTTAAGAGGCCTTTCTTCCTGAGGAAGAGGTTTCATGTGATTTATCACACTTTTCTATAATACTTCTTCAGATTTTGAGGAGTCTTCTTCAGATGGCACTCAACTCTGCACAGTATTTCAAATGAAGCCATTCCAAGTATTTACATAACAACATTATTGTTCTTCTGGCCACTTAATTTTAAAGCAGTTTCAGAAAATACTTAAATGTGCAGGGATCATTCACTGAAGTATATAACTGGAACAGCTGGATTTTCTAATCCATGCCCATAAACTTTTCCTCTCTATGGTGGCAAATGGACATACATGGACATTGTCTTTCTCAGAATATGAAAGGAGAAGTCAGCTGCTGACTGGATAAATTTACAGAAGGAAGGAAAACACAGATTGTGCAGAAATTCAAGTGTACATCTATGCTAGATGATATTTTAACCTCTATAATGATACATATTTTTCTTATTTTTACTAGAATTTTTTCTAACTTGGAAAAAATTAACTACCAAACAGCTTGAGAATGTTCTCTTTTAAGAATATGGAGAGTAGCTGGAAGAGAGAAATAAACAAGCTATTCAAGAACAATCAGATGATTGGAAATAAAGCTTACAAAGAGAAATTTATAAGCTTAACCTTGAGAAGAAAAGACTTAAAAGGATGACACATAGAAGGCAGCTAAAACTTGTACTCTATGGGATCATTTTCATAACTTTCTAATATTCCATACTAACTAGGTATAGTTTTTATTTTATGGAACAAAACCACTTTTTAAAATCTAGAGTAGAGAACCAGTGGCCTTCCAGATGTTGGATTTCATCCATCCTAGCTGCTTGTAATTCTATCTGGGATTAATGGATATTGGAGCCCAATAACATCTAGAGGACTATGGTTTCCCCATCTCTATTATACAATTCTGGATCAAAATTGGTTAAATTTGAGTTTATGATTCAAAAGTAATCTGCAGCCATTATGACTTATGCTGATGTAGGAGAATTGCTATGCAACTGGTTGCCCTTCCACTGTGGTCTTTGAGCAGAGGTGATGCAGGTGTAACCTTTGCACACATTCATCTGACACCAAATGTTCCCAACAATACAGATACAAATGCATACGAGACAAGGCATCTTTACTAAGAGTATTCACTAAACTAAAATTTAGGTAATGCTGTTATGATCTAAGCAAGATCACAATTGTCCCAGAGGGATAATCAAAGATGAAGTTCACAACAAACAACTCATTTCAGGAACAATCCTCCAACTGGGCCCTCAGATCAGAAACCATTCCAAATTGTGAACTTGAGTTATATCCCCTCTTGAATACTAGCATGACCATCTCAGAACTCCATAAAATGTTAACACCTTGAGTAGTAGAAAACCTTATAAAATGACACAAAGATACTTGTGTGGGGGATAGGGTTGTCAGATGCATGACAGCAAGTCAGTTGTCCACACGCAACTGGGATGAATCACTAGTCAAACTCAACAAAGGAGAAGTGAAAACTATGCAAGCAGCTAAAATATAAAACAAAAATATGCATGTACATGACAGACAGGAAAGAAATGACAGGATAATGGGACAAACAAGGAACTGAAATATCAGCCAACAGCTTTGCATGAATTGAAGCACTTGGAGTGATAGGCCATGAAGATGAACTAGTGGATTCAGAGACTAGATCAACTGGCCTGAGGAATTCAAACATATAGCTTGTGATCATACCATAATCTCATAAAAGGCTTCTGGGACACAGGGAGTATCCACAGAATCTTGCTGCTTTTATCAAAATAATAAAACAGCATTGCATTGTCATACCACAAGCTGTCTTGTTTTCTTTTATTATTGCTTTAGTCCAACAAATGTCTCTTCACTTGTGTGAAACACATTCTTTGACTGATTATGAGTCCACAATTCATTTACCTCTTAAGCACTTGGTACAGGTACTATCAACCCTTTGAGCTATTATATTGCCTCCTCAGTGTGTCAACTGGCAGTTGGGTAAAAGAGGAAGAGGAAAGGAAAATGAGATAATCGGTACACGGGGCATATGTGGAAGAGTAAAAAAAGTAAAGATGGCAGCCCTACCCCTTTTTATATCCGTGCATGTAAAAAGGGGCAGGGCTTTGATCAAGTGGTTGCAGCCGCCATCTTGAGTTTTTGATTGCCCCAGTGGTACCCCTGCCCATATATATTTAAGAAAACAGAAACCCTAGAAGGCCCTTTGAGAATATCTATAAATTAAGGATTTCACCTGGGAAACTGAACGTCCTAGACTAAGCTAAATCTAAAAGATGCTAGAGAATTCCTGGAAGCTTGGCACTCAGACACATCAGCCATCAATAGGCACATAAAGATAAACCACATTTACACACCTTTCAAAAGAAACAATAAGAAAGCTAAGAAGGAAGCAAAAAGACCAGAACAAATCCTCTCCAGCAACCTACACCCAGATAAGCATGGATTAACACCAGACTAAACAATTAAGCTGAAAACAATACTCTAATCAAGGAACTACCAAGCAGACAAACAATCAAGCAGAAAACAGTAACCTAATCAAGGAGCTACCAAG